AGACTTCTTTTGTTCTACTGGCTGAGTAGTATCCCATTGTATGTATTTGAATTTAACATTTAAAAAAAAAATCAAAGTGAAAATAGTAGTTTCAAAATTACCCTTTTTTAAGTGTATTGTGCAATGTTTGTGAAATGATAGGGAATTACAGAGAAATTATTTTTTGTTAACAGTTAATACTTATTGAGCATCTGTGAATAGTATTCACTGTGTTAGGCTTTTTGTATGTTACCTCATTTAATCCTTATACTGTATGTGATAAGTAATATTGTTTTTATAAATCAGTAAATTAATTGATATAATCATTAATTTTATGTGTTGCTTTACACTTAAAAGTCCAAGTAGTAAAGTATATGTGTAGAGATGTATATTTTACAGTCAACGTTAAAATATGGAAGGTGCTATAATGTTGCTACAATGTGCAGTGAAAATGTTATTCACTAACCAGAGATGTCCAATAGAACTAGCCAGAGATGGAAATGTTCTGCGTCTGTTCTGTCCATTGTGCTATCCACTGTCATAAGTGTCTGTTGAACACTTGAAATATGGCTAGTGGGACTGTGGAATTTTATTTTAATTTGAATGTTAATAATCACAGTCTGCTGCTGGCCATGATGGAATAACAGTGATTGGATTTACCCTCCCAGTTGATACAGTCCAAAAGTGGACAAAATATATGATAAAATGGTTTGCAAGATTCTGGACATGAGGCAATGGAAAGTATGTGGAACTTCCATACAATGCTGATGTGTATATAAAATCTTACAGTCTTTAGAAAATTGTTTGGCTGTTTTTTAAGTTAAATGATCCTGCCATTCTGTGCTTCAGTAGTCATTCAAGAGAGATGAAATTAGTCGTCCCTACAAGACTCATGGAGGAATATTCATTGGAACTTTTGAAAAAAAGCAAAACCCGGAAACAATCCAAATGTCTGTCAACAGCTGAATGGTTAACCAAATATGGTACATCCATATAATAGAATACTATTCAGCAATAAAACTCAACTATTTATACACTCTTTAACATGAATGAATCTCAAAATAATTATGCTGCATGAAAGAAATCAGCCAAAAAAGACTTCATACTATGTGATTCTATTTATGATAAAATCTAGGAAATGCAAACTAATATTTAGTGACACAGCACAGTTCAGTGATTTTCTGTAGGAGAGGGGTGATGGTGAGGGAACAGGAGGGATTACAGAGGTGTTTTGTTCACCTCTTTTTTACCTCATTGGTGAGGGTAGGATTCCCACCCTCGGGTTATGGGGATGGCTAAACACACTACAATTGACACTGGACAGAGGAGATCGACAGCAGTTTATTAATCACATATTCAGCCTTGGGGAGGAGAACACCACATGCCACGCAGGGCCACATGTTGGTTGCACTTGGGAACAGAGTAAACAAGCAAGAGCTGTAGGAGGCAGGCTTTGTAGTAACAGAGGATGAGGTGACCCCTGGTTATGGCGGAAGGATATGATTGGCTTGTATGAGTAATTCTGTAGGCTGGCAGGGAACTGAAACCTCTACTTTGAGATAAGCAGGCAATGTGTCTTGTTCCCATGATAAGAAGAGTTGTTTGGAAAGGGGACCTTATCCTGGGACTAGAGGGCGAGAGGAGCTTACATTTGGGCCATTTGAGGTCATCTTGATTCTACCAGATATCAAGTCAACACTAAATATTGGATCTTAATTTTATGCTTACAGCGCAAAGGGGATCTTAGGAGACTTTTGGGGGTGATAGATATTTTCATTGTCTTGCTTATGATGATGATTTTGCAGGTATATACCTATCTCAAAACGTACAAAATTGTACACTTTAAATATGTGAAGTTTATGTCAGTTATACTTCAGTAAAGCTATTAAAAAATTTAAATAGCCACAAGTGGCCAGTAGCTACTCTGTTGGACTGTGGAGCAGTATCCTGTAGTTCTTTGAGGATGAGAATGTTGTTTTAATATCCTTTGTATCTAGCAATTTGTAGCACTTAATAACCACTTGGTAAATATTTGTTTGATAAAGAAAGGCAAGATAAAACTAGCAGGGTAAGCATGGACACATCACTTAACTTCTCAGGATCTCATTTTCCTGATACGAAAAAATATGGGGGTTAATCTGAAGTTCTATTTAGCTCTAAAATTCTGTAATCTGAAGCACAGAGAAAATATTCTTGATTATTTAATTGCAGATTTACATTTATTTGGAAAAGTACTTTGTTGAAATCACAATGATTAATAAATTAGCACAATTAATTTAAAAAACATTAAAAACCTTATATAGCTCACAATGAAAACTGTTTCAGCATCATTAATTAACACAATACTGAACATATTTTACATTAAGTTTCCATCTTTTCCAATAAAACCCAGAGTCCTTCGAATGGCTGTCTTTGATCTTGTCTTCCTGATTTATCCCTCATCTCCTCAGTGTCTCTGCTTCTTTGACCACTTTGTGTAAAACAACCATTTCCCCACACTCATGCATTTCTGTTTCCTTACCCTGCCTTATTTTTCTCCAAAACCCTTACAACTGTCTGACATACTACATAGTTTGTGTGTTCTTTTAATGTTTTCTCTTTACTAGACGATAAGCTCCATGAGGGCAAGGACTTTGTCCATTTTGTGTACTGTTCTAAGTCCTAGAACAATGCCTGGCACATAGTACATAGCCAGTAGGTATGTGCTGAAAAAATTGATCACTTGTGCATGAATATCCATTGGATTCTCCCCTCCCCCGTCTTGTACATATTTTCATCTCTTTAATCTCTACTGTAGAAAAAAGCAAGCTCCAAATATTGAAATGATTTGAGAGATTTCAAAAGATCTGCTTGTTTAAACCAAACCAAAACCAAACTTGTTGCCATCAAATTGATTGCAGTTCATAGCAACCCCATCAGTTACAGAGTAGACCTGCTCCATAGGGTTTTCATAGCTGTAGTCTTTACAGAAGCAGACCGCCAAGCCTTTCTTTCACAGCACCACTGAGTAGGTTTGAAATTATAACCTTTCGGTTAATATTGAGTAGAAACTGTTTGCGCCACCACGTAACTTCTTTCCAGACTTATATGTCTCTGGATAATGGTTTTGTATCTAGATCACTTCTATGAGTAACAAAACCTAATAAAAACAATCAGCTGAATTCCTGGTACTTTCACATGTATCATCTCATTTAATCTTCTGAACAGTTTGAAGTGAGATATTATTATCCTCAGTTTATAGAGAAGGAATCTAAGCTGTAGAGAAATCATATAAAGCACCAAAGGTCACACAGAATTAGGACTCATATCTAGATCTATCTGACTTCAAAGCTTGAATTCTTAAACATTGTACTCTTTTCCATTTTCAAATGTGCTATATTTGTAAAGATAATTCTCAGTTTGATATGAACACAGATAATTTCTCCAGGTTAGGATAGAACATAGCATGATTTTGAGGGAAAAAAACTTCGGACATTTTCTTTAGAGAAGGTGGAGAGTGTGAGAAAGATTTATGGGGTACCTCTAGAGAGATTTGTGAGTGGAGTTTACAAGGGGGGCATTGACTAGTGTCAGGAAAGCATAAAACATTGAACATTTGGGAAGGATAATGTTGCCCAAAGAGGATAGAGTGATAGGGAAATAAAAATTGATTTTATGATCTGGACATTTGCTGGCAAGTTATAACCAGGAAACAAACTCACTTGGACTTTAATTCGTAATTGATTAATCAATAATGGCAAATTATTCTGTATCCTTTGGTTTAAATAATGTTTAAAAAAAGTTATGTGAACCTTATGCATCATGGAAAGGTATTTTTAAAGTCAATGGAAAAGAGAGGAAGAGAGGGAGGAAGCAGGGGAGGCAGGGAGAACACTGTTTTTTTAGAGAAAGAAATTATATATATATAAAACATTTGTTTAGTAGTAATTGAGACTCATCCTTTTTTTGGTTGTTATATTTATATGTTTCTAAGTCACTCAGTTAGTATTTATAATGCCTTATCTTAGGCTAAGATGGCAAACCTGTGAAGCTTGGTCTTTAATAGCAAAGTATTTTCCTCAGGTTGACTAGAAATTATTTGTGTTCAAAGTAGCAAAATATTATTTTCTATCATTATTTTTATTGTTCTTTGTTGTCAGCCTTTTGCATTGTTGAAGACTGTTCATTTGTCATTTGTGAATGATTTGATGCCATTGCCAGTCATTGTGCTTGATTTACACTGTTGTTAACATGTTAACATACATTTTACGACTTCTGTTTTTGTCATTTAAAACAACTTTACAGAGATTCACTTTGTTGGCATAGCTAAAGCTTTGATCAGATCTGATATTCTGGATTCCTTTCATATATTGTCTTAATATGTTGTAATTAGTAGGATGTGTTTGAGGGGAGCTTCTGTAAAACAGACTTGTGTGTCCTTATGCCTGCTTTTAGAGACCTTTTTTATAGCTAGTCTGCTTCAAGGCATAATTCTATTTTTATTAGCTTTTCTTATTGATTAGAATTGGTTGACAACTGGGCTGTATTTTACATTTTTAACAGATCTGCTCATCGTGTTATAATAGTTAATCAGCTTTATGATTTCTTTGCTGACTTTATTATATAAAAGCAATTGTCCTGTTGTTATTTGCTTCCTTAGGCATTTTTACAAACAAGTTAAAAAATTGAGTGTTCCTTTTTGAAGTCCAAGTTATCCTTTTACCCATCCTATATAACTTGTATGTGTATGTATATATATGTGTTTATGTGTGTGTGTATGTATATATATATATAAATTATAATACATGTACCTATTGTTATATATGTATATATATCATAACTTTATATATAATTATTATAGGCTCATTATTGCCCTGATATGGTTTATTTGAAAGATAGAGAATGTAATTTGTACATGACTAGTTTTGTACTTTCTTTTATTGCTTCAAACACAAGATCTAATAGTGGATATTTTGCTTTTATAAGTCATACAAATGATGTCAGTGCTCTTTTGCAAGTAATGTATTTTCTCCTTGTTATAGGTCCTTTTGTTCAGCATCACAGCTGCCATGTACATGTTCTTTTTCAGGTATGTTCTGTTATGCCTATATATTTTAATAGCAAAAGTAGTGTTCCTTTGTGATTTTTCATCAACCAGGAAATTACAATAATCCCCAAATAATTCTCTGCCATAAATGGCATGAATTGTGTTTTCTAGAGTGGTCAGAGATAAATCATTGCTACTTAGTAAGTAGAGAAGAGAGAAGGAGATGGAAGGAAGACTTGTTTTCTTCAGTATATAACCACAGCAGTGTGGGAATAGGATTTTTGATTAGGGGGACACACTCCACTTCTTCATAAATTTCAATTTCAGTGATACCAATAATTCCCTTTTTTCTCATTCTTATTGCACTTATTTGGATAGGATCTTTCTAAATTTTTCTGAATGTGTGCAGAATTAAACCACAGCAGAAAGTACTAAGGCCTTTGAAATTAAAACTTATACTTAACTGACAGAGGCAGTTACAGATTTTTAAGAAGGTATAGTTGATGAGTATATTTATTTTTTTACCTAAGTTAGACAATTCAACCATACCAGAATTTCTAAACCACTAATTTCTTGACAGAACATTCTAAGAAATATTTGATAAAACATAATTACATTAATTTTAAGTTATTTTGACGTTATCAAAATGTTATATAGAAATACAAAATGATGATATTCTAAAGGAGCAGCCAGATTATTAAAAGGGGGAAAAAGTGTAAACATTAAAGGTATGGGGGACTTGATATGCAGAGGATTGGTACTGAGATGTGTGGTATTTTATGTCAGTCATTAGTGAATGAAAAGTCACTGCAGCTGTCTGGTAGTCTTTGTGAAATTGTTTGGTCTGTCATTCTTAATGAATGTATCTTTATATACACCATAATATGTCTGTGATCCTTTTCCTTTATTTAAATTATTTTGGGTAGGGTGGAGGAGCTAGGAGAAATGATTATTTCTTTTCATCTATTTCCAGAATTTTCATAGTTGTATTCAGACTCATTATTAGGACAATATTGCAAAAGATTTCACATGGTTTATCTTTATATTCTGTCTAGTCTGAAGATAAAGCATTCTAAGTAGGGAAAATGTGATCATAAAAAAATTAAAAAGAAGCATATCTTTCATTGACATGCACAGCAGGAAAATATAATACTGAGTAAATTTTCTTTTTGTTAAAATTTCCAACAGAACAGATAGTTAAATGAAACTTTCCTTCCCAATGTGACACTTAAAGACAATCATCTGTTCACCATTTAATTTCTTAGTCATCAGAAGATTTTGAGGTTTAAAATGTAATCATGTGTTGAATATACTGATAATGCCCAATTTGTAGCATGGTTCTAGGAAATTATATTTTGAAACTGCTGCCATCAACATAGTATTTTTGGTGTAGAAAAAAAATCAGCTCTATAAATATGTATTTTGGTGCAGAGCTACAGAACCTTTTCCTGTTTCAGTCACAAAGTCTAGGTTAAAAACAACAGCTTTAAAATACTTTCCAGAAGGCTCAATACAAGGTTTAAGTGCCAAGATAAACAGTTTCAATTTTCTGAGGAAAGAAGTTGTTTTTCTCCCAAAAGAAGCACTATCACCAAATTCCTAGTGTTCTTGGCAGAATGTAGTTTGAATAACTCCACAAAAGAGGTTTGGTAAATGGTAAAAGAAAACCATTTGTGAAGTGTTGCAACCGAACTAAACAATGTAATATGTCTGCCTGAACTCCAGCATGTGTTGGAATGAGCTAACAATCTTGTACATAGCACTTGGCAAGTCCAATTGCTATTAGAATATTTTATTCCTACAATTCATCTTTATTATAAATGTAAGTATTTGAAGGCACATTCATTCCATTTATTTATATTTATTTTTAGAAGTCTAATTGCATAAAATTGGATAATCAAGTATCTAATGATATAGAGCTCATGCTCAATTTATGGTAACCTCCTTAGGGAAGGGGATAAGGCAAAAATTTTATGTTTGGTATGGATCAACTTGTGTTTTTACCCTAACCTGTAAATTGTGAAAAAAAAATGAGACCCTCTTTCAACAGAGAAAAAAATGTGCCGTTGAACTTTTTTTTCCTTTCTTAGAAATAACTTAAATAATTCCATGAGAATTTTCTTTCAAAAACTTGCTGCATCTTTGTTTTCATGACAATAAAAATGGGATTTTTAGGTGGTTTTCTAAATGTCAGTATTTTGTTTGCTATTTTTACTGATGTTAAGGTTCAAGAAGTGAATGGCTTACATGTCGTTAAGTCTGTTGTGTATAAAAATTTATTACCCTTACTCAAGTCTCAGCAAATCAAATATTCATAGGTAAAAGAAATAATAAATCACAGTAGTGACAAATCTTTGAAATAATTTTAATACTTTTTTTCTTAACAATGTTAGTACTACTTTGTTAGCCTTGATCATTATTATTAGTGGGAGTTTTATGTAAAATACCTGGTAAATGTTTGAATGAATGATACTGAGTTAAAAAAATATTTAATGATTACAACTAAGACTTTTAGCTTTTCAGAAATTTCATTGAGTTAATGAAAAACATAAATTGTGTTTTAGGAGGTCCCATGGTGTAATAGAAATTGCACAGTCTTTGATGCCACACAGCATAAACCTCTCTTTCGATTTTGGCTCTATCACTTACTGATTCAATGGCCTTGAGCTTTTCTCATCCTAAGTTTTTCATACATAAAATTATTCATATGGCCTTGAGAACTTAGAACAGATACTCCTAAAAGAAAATAATACTTTTTAATGGTATTTATGTTTCTAAGCCAGTCCTTAAAAGTTATTTAACCTGTAAATGAATCTATAAAATGTACTTATAGTGCCAAAGTACTATAGAAATGGATAGTATTTATGTTAATATTTCTATAGAAAAATACATTGAAGTCTAATATGTTTCAACTAATGCAGGGGTATCGGGCATTGTCCAGTTCTAATCTACTCCACAGCCTCCCATATTTGGAACAAGAGTTTGGAGTATAGAGAATGAGAATTGAGAGAGTAAAACAACAGAATTGGAGCTCTTAGAGCATGCTTTAAATAGTATAAACTGGTGAACCAAGAGATAGGGATTATGGTTTAAAATGGGCCTTGCCTCTCCCTCTGCTTCCTTTTTTCTTTCTTCTCCATCTCTTCCGCAGTCTGATGCCATTCTGATTAAGGATATAGTGGGGCAGAACAGTCAGTAGGACTAGAGGAAAATGTGTCTTCGAGGTTTAGCGTGGATAGGTGGCATGGGGCAGGGTGTGCACACAGGGTGAAGAGGAAAGAAATATGCTGGCCCTAAATTTTGAAAGCAGCAAGATTTTGCCATTTTCAATCCACTGCCAGCCTTACTCTCAACTAGTTGGTAGTAAGGACATTGAAAACTGGACAAAAAGATCTAGAAAGGTTGAAATGGGCAAAGAATGGAAGCAAGCAGGATAGCTTTTTTCCTCCATGTTCCTTGCCTGTAGGGAAGAGAACAATGATGAAGTGAAGGGAAAAGAGGAGGTAGTTGGTAGAAGCAGTAGGGTAAGAGGAGGTCTTGGCTATGTTCGGCTAGAATGACCGTTTGTATTTAAAGGATATGCATTAATTTTGTGTGTATCTTCAGTATAGTTATAAAGCAATATTTTTCAAGAATTTGCTCGTATATCATCTGCCTGGTAAATTGTAAAACTAGTTAAGAACTTCTAAACTTTCTAATGAAATACATTAATACTTCAGGTCTCTATTACAAAAATTGACTTTAAGACCTGCTTGCTACCCCAAGGTGTAGGCTACCTGTTGTCTCCATGTAAGCTTCCTTTGTCTTCAAGGAAAGTCTTTTAATGGGGGATCTTCTAAAATGAAGTCTGAAGTGATAAATTTCTCTGAATTAAATTTAATATTCACTTTTAACCCAAATGCCACTTTATGATTAAATATTATTGGAGGACCCATTTTATTAGCCAAAATCAAGGATTCCAACTATGCACACTTACATACCTGTATACCCCAATCATAATTATATCTTATTCCATCACTTCTAAAAATATGAGATAAAAATAATTTGGAATACAGTGCACATTACAAATTATAAATATAGAAGTTGGAAACTGGCTATGAAAAGATGATGAAGTGCTGGCAGATACTGTTAAGAATCACTTATGGCATTATTTAGTTGAGTTATGATATGATACGAAACAATATGATAGCTAGAAAGATTTTTAATTTTAGTATTTATGATAACTATAAAAAGATTATTGTGATTGATAAAGATTACTCTATAATGAGAAATGATGCCTTGTGAATTAAAAAAGCATATGGCCAGAGTTTTATAGAGCATATTAGAAGGCAAATGGCTTCAAAATAAGATTATATTAATGTAATTTTTTGTAAAAAAATAACTTCCTCATTGTATGTATGTTCTCTCCCCAACTCCTCAAATGAAAATATATCATTTAGGTTGTTTGAAAAAAATACCTTTTCTTGGCATAACTGCGTTAGGCAAGTCTAAGAACTTTCTGCGATTAGTAATATGCCCTTATGAAGCAGGAAACAGGCAATGCAACACAGATAGCCAGAAACACAGAACCTCCTGTTTAATCTATACCAACCCAACACACACACTCACGCATGCGTGCATGTGTGTGTGCATGCACGCATGTGACTTTCATGAATCTTTTAAATGAGTCCTGGTATCAGTCTTCACTTCTTCACTAAGAAACTGGTGCTAGCTCTTACAGTGTGACTAAAATAATGATTCTGGTCCAGGATGGACTATTCTTTCAAGTTCTGAGGATCTTCTGTGTGCTAGAATGTCTGCTTCTTGCTTAAGAAGCATTATTGCTAATCACAAAGTTTTTAGACTAGATTTTGTTGATACAGATGCTCAAATTTGAAGCAGTTAAGTTTTACTTCTTGCTTTACCAGTTATCAGGAATTCACTACTTCTTTCTCAAGCCTGAGTGTTCTTTTTTCTCTTATTTTTCACTGCTTGAGTTCTGTTAGAGGTATCAAGGGACACTATAGTGTAACAAAGTTGGTTAAGAGCATGAACTCAGAAAT